ATAGAATGCATTTCGTTGATGGATACAAGCAAAACGGAAGTGGTGTAGATAAGGTCGTCTTGGCTCTTCAAATTCTCGCCAAGAGACCGGGTTGAAAACCTGGCTGTGAATATGTTATGTCTACCTGCTGTCTCCGCTCCACTACCGGAAGAAGACTTATCGACAGCTTTATTGCAAGCAGGCGCATGCGTAGGAAGTGTAAAAGGTCTCGCGCAAGGCTGTCTGATCGGCGTTTCGTGGAGGGCCTCAGCAGGTTTCGGGCATTCTAGGATAATCTTCAGGAATCTCACCTTCTCAACAGAATTTTTTCTCAACCAACCGATGCACCCCGTCCTTTTTGTAGTTTGCCTATGGTTTACTGCACCTCTAGTGTTGAGCAGCCACTTTGATATTGTGCTCCGTCTTGGGTCTATTTCTGGTGAGCATGTAAATGTGTATTGAAAACTGTCACAATCCAGCTGGAAGCTGAATCGTGCGGTAAATGTTTGCTTCTTTTGGTTTTTGTGAGCTAAATACCATCGATGATCGGTTTCATGAATTGTGCAGCCTATGCTGCCTCACTCTGAGCATGTCCCAGACAAATGTATCGCGACAGTAGTCTGGAGCACTTCTTAGTGTCATGCAGTGCATGATCGATATTGACAGTCTGGTGTGCTCGGCGAGTATAAATCGTTGTATGTGTGGTTACTTGGCAAAATCGATCAGAGCGATTGTCAAAAACTCACCGAAGTTTAAGCGACCTAATTCTCAAGCGGATAAGTTTTAAAAACCTTGGAGAATGTGGCAGGCTTACATGTATAGAAGCACAAAAATTGATGTCCTGTGAACTCCACATCAGAGAACTTGCATGCGTACTAGCAATGAAGCAATGGGTGAGGCAAAATAGCTAGCTACGTATGAGCGATTGCATGCGGACAGAATATCAGCTTCATTCATGAACACGTAGGTTTCTATCAGCCAAATAGAATGCTGCACTTTGTCATTTGTGCTATCAAGATTTCCCAAAGTAAAACTCATGGAAAGCAAAGAGGAGATTTTTTGTCGCACTGCAGTTAATATGTCACTGAGAAGGAGGCTGCGTGCAAATTTTGTGGTTCATTTTGTTAGAGGTAATACTAGCTAGCTTGGAGGCTGCGTGCAAATTTTGTGGTTCATTGTGTTAGAGTAGTATGAATGGTGCGGATTTCATGTGATAAGGCCATCATGATGCTGTCAATGATGATGATGATCATGATCATGATGATGATGATGATGATGATGAGAAGTGCAGAGAGTTACGGTTCATTCTGTAAAAGTGTGGAAGATGTACTTCGAGACATCGGTTCGAAGAGACTATTGAAAATCAGGAAACATCCTACTACCGGTTTTAGCCATTAGGAAAGCGTAAGCCTCCAACCGAGGAACAATCGATCCACAACTTGAGTAGTACTTTGACAGGGAGTCAATTTTAGATAGAAGTTTGATGGAATACGTCCATCTGAAAAGCACTAGGCGGAGGAAAACCGGTAGCAAGCTGTCTGCAAGTCTTAAGCATCCTTCCCGTTCTACTAATTTCCAGGTCTCAGGGCAAATAATTGGAGCTGACTACAGAATATATACATTCCTCTGAAAAAAGCCAGCGCGACATTCAAGGCTACAGATTCAGTGGAGTTTCTACCTCCTGCAGTCCTACTATTCAGACTAGCGATGAGTGGTGACAATGTCATGTGAGCGCCACCAATCAGTCCTTGAGGTTTTCCAACATTCACACGTGTATGTATGAGACCGTAGGAGATCCACTTGAAATTGGTCTGTAATACTTCCCGATGAGAATAGCGCTTTATGCTTGTGTGAATATGTAGTTCACGGAATATATCGAATAGCTCAACCATATTGCACTGTGGTGACAGTCTAAGATCATTTTGCATAACAGATTTATGTAAAAAAAAGTGAGAACACTAAGAAGAGGATAAGTTCGCCATTTGTTTTCAGTTCAAAAGGTAGGCATGGCCGCAGCGCTTCGTTGACCCACTGTTCTTCAGAAAAGTAGCTGAGGAACAACCATGTTCGGGGCACTTGGAGCTGAAGTTCGTTGCTAGGTCACACTGTGGTCCCATTCATCCAACGGGAGCATCATATGACATAGTCAGACTTGGTAACACCTCCTTAAGTGGTGCATCCTGAAACAGTTGAGAGAAAATTTGATGCAGCATCGTAGTTGATAGGCTGGTTTTATGTCCTGCCAGAGGAGATTTTTAATGCTGCACGAAAAGTGGCTGCCAACTAACGTTGAAGGTGTCAGAATTCAAACGCATAGTCACGATGGATTCCGGATGGACCGTCCCCTCAGCCACCGTAACAAGAGTGGCGGGGTCTGGTGTTTGATCATATGACCGTTGATATGTTTAACGAAATGAAATCACAACCTAATTCCAGGCTGGCCAACCAAATTAGGCTTAAATCACCTCGGAACCAACCAGTCACTCTGAAAATATTAGCTACTGTTCCAAAATATAAAAGCACAGGCAGAAGAGAAAGAATTCAACCACTCAACCCAGCACTGACAATGTCAGCTCGATTGGTGATGAAACGTTTGCGATTCAACAGCCAGGCAAGGCCAGAAGTCAATAATCCTTATTCCCTGGGAAACTACGCATTTCATCATTGACCATTTTTATGGTGTCATTAAGACACTTCTTCGTCGGAAGTCTTACTCGAGTCACGTAGAGCACGTGCTTGCGTTAATCAATTTCCAACCGGATGGTGAACAGCTGTTGCGGCCGGTCATTTGATTTGGTTGAAATGGGTGAAAAAGAAGTAAACAATAGAATATGACGGCAGGTTTCCGACCGATGGACCTAAGAGAGGCTACATCCGGAGTAGTTAACCCTTGGTACCAAAAATCCTGCAAGCTCTGTTAGTGGACTGAGGCTTTGGAATACCTCATTCTAAACAGTTGTCTTCCTAGTTCCTCATCTCCCAGTTTTTAGTTTGTCACGAATCGTCTACCTAAGCCAATAACCGGTTGTCCAGCTTGGTATGGCTTATCCATTGTTGATGACCCACATTCCTGTTTCCGACTAGTTTTGCCTTCTCGTTGTCTACTCCACGATTGGCGACTGTTTATCTCTTTAACCAAACACCTCAAGAGCATAAAGTACACATAAACAGCAGAGCCGTTATTGGCAGAGGCATGTATCATATACAAATCGCCCCTACTTAGTTTATCGAATTCCATACGACTGTGGAAAGTGTTTACAAGGGGCATTTGAATGCAGGTTGGTCAAAATGTCTGTCCGTCCATGCACCGAGAGTACCCACATGGGTAATCAAATATAATTTGTTGAAGTCATCCCAGTTTCCCCTTGCACTAAGTGACAATGGAGGGTGGTTGTAAGATGATAGTGTTTATCCTGGATAAAAAGAAATCGAAACGTGTTTGCATCGGTGATTTGTTTCTTGGATAAATTCAGTGCGCTTTTCTGACGATGTACGAAGGAATCTACTGCCTTACCGTACTTGGAAAGTCAGCTATTCATGAAGTATGGCTGTCCGTTCCCACTACAACTTCATGTAAAGCTCGTGACATAAAAATGTTACTTTCTCAGTTGTAAGGCTTATCCCTGAAATTTTTGGAATCCCCTCAAACCTCCTTTCGGGAATTTGCCACTCGAGGATCCAGTCAACACGTCCGTACTCTCTGTCAAAATGGCAGACAGGTCATGCTTGCTGAAACCTTGTACTCCCTTAAAATCGACGTATGCTGTGTCTCCGAAACACGCATACAAGACCCGAGCTTGGTTATGCATCTCATAACGCCAAGGATGAACTCAGCTCTTTCAAATTTCTCCCTACGTGTGTCCGGTGACCCAGGTCAAACAATTGTGACTAAGAAGCCTAGTTTTCAACCTCAAACCCCGGGTTCGCGAGTGTGAAACTCCTGAGCTTTGTGAAATGTGTACAGTCTATGATTCCCGATAAGGATGGAACAGCTGAACGGTACTACCCGGCTTTTTGAACACAGACTAGCTTCACTTACGAGACGAAATCTCTGCCGGATTTTTCATTGTTTATTTCTTAGTCGGCACCCAACAACTGCTACTTTTCATGATGTTTCAATAAATCTGGCCAGAAGAGAATGTTGACAGTTTTCCGGTGTGTATCACGATATCTCAATAAGCACATAGTCTTCCAGAACCAAGTTTTGTATTCCGCGGAATAACGTCGATGACTGTTCCCGCCTGAACAAGCGCAAAATCGAGACTAAAAAATTGGATTACCACCTGCATCTGATTTTGAATGATTCGGACGAAGATCTTCATACTGTTTGCGGTAATGCAGGGTCATCTAAATTTGTGGGAACAAAAGGTAATCTAGCCCATTCCCCATTACATTCACACTACGCAGAACAAGGGAGAACTCAATAGTTTCCGCAATCCCATGGTTAACAGTGGATTGGAATTCAGGCGAATGAAAGCGCAAAACCTTTGTTTGACTACACAGGGCGCAACATGAAAGCTTACATTTGTATACAATGAGAACAGCATACGACCGTGAGTAATATATAAATAAATTTTCTACACTTGCTGTTTTACCGGTCTTTCTTAAAGGATATTCCTGGAATCTTTCCAGTTTACTCAGTTGTTCAAATTCCTGAGACGATGAATAAATCAAATCTAGTGTTAGTGTCACGTGGTGTCACTTGACAGTATATCGATTTGAGGTAAGGTGTAAAAACAGTGACTCTTGAAAGAACGGTTTTCTTCTGAATATTCATCTGTAGGAGTCCGACCTGGAGTTAAATTCGGACCACAGAACAAGTGTATTGTATGCCTGTACGCCGAAGGTAGTAGTAACCTACCCGCTGTTTCTTGCACGCAAATTCAAGCTGCTTTTATCCTATCAGAACTTTACCCCTCCTTTGCTTTTACCATGGTCAAGGATGATGTGAACCTTCCCGTACTCCCGACTACTAAGGCTGGTACCGCTGGGCTCTATGCTTATAAACACTACGTCTTTTTCTGCGCACTATTTCGCACAAACTCTTCGCCAATGACTCAGCAGTTCACCGTATAACGGTTGGAGAGCTTTCGTATGTGCAATCTTCAAGTAAAGTTGACATGAGAAATGACTCGCCTGTCACAGTGTGTTTTAGTGACCGCAGTTCTTGCTGTTCCGATTCGAATGCTCCACTTGTGCTGTCAGCTATCAGACGTCTCACACGGTTACTTGCCGTCTAACAGAAGTTTGGGACCAGCCGTTTGAAGCTCCGACTTCATGCGGTCGACCAACACTTCACTTTCAGAAGATGGTGTGTGTGTGTGTTGGCCGTTGCAGTACCGCATACACACGGAGGGACGATTTTCCTTGCTTATTTTCACAAATGGCTTTTGATGGACGATCCATGCTTTTGTAATTTGAAGTGACAGGTTCTGCTTCACTTGTCTTTACAACCTAGATTTTGGTTCCACGTTTGTTTCTCCAAGCGCAAAATCCAGACTGAAGTATGGTGTATATCACTTTCTGTCCTGTGCAAACGTGGGCAAGACAGGCGAATCAAACTAATTGCGTTCCCCAGGTATAGGAGAACAACGCACTTTAACTGAGCAATTTCATGAATGAGCTTTGCGAGGCTGATAAGGGCGAGATATCAGGAGGCTCACTGTATGTAAGTGCGTATCAGATTGTGATTTTGACAGCCCGGTACACTGGCAGGTGAATTCTCCGCGCCTTGAGCTTAGGAAAAAAGCATAGAATGCACCATTTTTAGGAGCGTTTGTTATTTTCCTTAACAAGAAACAGTCACGGTTATTCATTATTTTTGGCTTATTGAAGTAATGTTCCAACTGCAACAGAGAACTTTGGTTCCCAATGTCATATCCCAAGCTACGTTTCCCAGGAGGCAAGAATATTTCGTTGTGTTTGTTGCACCAAGTTGCATTCAATCGCGATCTAATCACTAGACTTGTCACCCCTTAAAGCTAAAAAAGCTCACATACATAATCACAAGATGCGATTCGGGATCTGTATTGGCGGTTTTTCGGATTAGATCTACTTGAAACCGTATGAGATGCCCCTTTTCTGTAGGAGGAGCTTAGGATCATCCAAGTTGATTTGTTTTTTTTTAGATTTTATCGACTGTTGTGAAGAATTTTCATGGAAAAGGGAAAATATGGAACCAGATTTCACCCATAAATAGTTTACTTCACAAACCGGTCAGAAGTACCCTATCATCAATTATTGAAGGGGTGGGTCCTCAAGCGTTTGACGGGGGATTGCATCAACCTGTTGAATACTTCTGACAACGATCCCATCTTGAAGCCTAATCAGCCTTTCTATGTACACTTTCTCTTCAGTGAAATGTCACACTCACGCGTCTGTGTAAGCCGATCAGACCAAAACTGTGGGAAATTCTCATTCTCAGTTGGACACCTACACAAGGGCAAGACTTACACCCAGGGCAAGAACCGATATACGGGTTGTTCACTCACCCACCCCATAAGGAACTGAGAAGAGTGGAGTGTCGAGCAGAGCAGGCAGTTGTCAAATATGTCACATCACCGATACAAGGGTAACCTACAGCTAACACATTCTACAAATCAAGTCGAACATGGGGTTCTCAGTAGAATACCCAGTAGGACGTATGAGATCAAGATTGTCCAAAAATTCATTAGTTAAATCCTACTTTGTATTTGGTTGTATTTGTCCGGTTGTAGAGTAGAGCACGAGAGTATCTTCTGCTACTGATAAGTGAATCAGAGTGATGGGAAAATCATTAGTGTCCCTTGTTTAAGCCTAAGGGCAGTCAACACGGATTGTTTTAATTTCAGGGTTTCAAGGGTAGGAAACAGTCCCTTATTGGAAGGTTTTGACGTAAAGCCTTCCGTGAAGTAGCTCAACGCAGCTGTTTGCCCATTCTTCCTGAGTTACTGAAAGCAATACGCCTATATATGGTGAGTGTATACAGTTAATGACACGGTAATGAGATCAAAAATCAAAAAGTTCATTATCCTACTACCAAGGAGGGTCAACCACACCAGATGAACTGCGTTCGAATCGAATTTTAGAAAGGAAACTATCAACTCGCAGGTAACTGGTGAGGCCGTTCTTAGAAGAAGTGATAACGTCCCACGCTTTAAACCAGATTGTACGGTATCATATCGAACTTGACATCAGCACTTAGGAGACAATTTCTTGTGGAGGTCTTGCTGATGGTGGAAGTGTCAAAATCGATTTATTGACAGTTTTACCAAAATCCACGACAACGTTTCCTCTTATTAGAGTCAAGAAAACCGCGGCTAGCTCATCGGTTTGTGTGAACCTTGTTAGTTATAAACATTGAATAAACCTGCCTCTTTCTGCACGCTTAGAACAAACGTGTTCGGCAACAAGCCAGAAACGTTGTTTGGTTATCCGGATTAGGGAGGTCAACAGCGGCATAATATTTGATATGATTAGAAGACGCGAAAGAAAATAACAACCAAGTTGGACCAAAAAATGCGATTCACGTCAAATATCTGGTCTGGATTTCAATAGCTGTACAGTGTTCCGTGCTTTTCCCATAGGCTGAACAGAGTCTAACACAACAGTATAGCCCGAAAAGTCAACAATTCACAGAGGCCCAGTACCCGAAGCGATCAGAACTACCAGTGGAAACGGATCGAAGTGCGCTCAAACAACGTACCACTTGGCCCAAATTGGTTCCGTTATTCAGATTGTCCACAGTGAAAAGACACTGTTGATCCACACCAACCGCACCGGCATACTGGAGGAAAATAGCTATCCTTTTACGTTGCAACACCGCGTCCACATAATCCAATGGGGATGTCCTCCAAGTCTTCATTGCCTCCAGTTTTACGGCCATTGAAGGATCTAATGCAGCCATCAGATAGCCGAGAACCATTCCATCACTTAGATAATGCGAATAGACATCCTCACTGACAAGTTCGAGTTCTAGCGGAATTCTGCTGGCAGCTTTGATCAACTGCTCCGATGCTGTTGTCGGTACAGGAAGCGAGCGGATCCAGGTCAGTGTTTTCGCCGCATCAACACCATCAAACGGGGTTGTGGTATTTGGATGCATATCAGTAGACCACCCCTATGTCAGAGCACACAAGTTATTTTGTCTCGGTTAGCAAAGCACCAGTCGGCTGAGCAACGAGCAAGCTCAAAAAAGCACCTCTTTCACCGATTGGCTCGATTGGACCGAATGCTGATTGGCCTATCGATTTGATGCACCCTCACATGCAAACAAGGTGCCCGAAGACGGGTGTTATTTTGCCAGCTCCATGGCAACTGTTGTCAATCCTATTTGCATAGAAAATGAAAATGAAAAGACCTTGGTTCTAATCGAATGCGAAGGTAGGCGTAAGAATCAAAGCCTGCTTGAGTGCGTGCTCAGGTACTCAAGTGAAATGCTTGGATTTGTGAAACATATTGACTTGCATATGACATTGTCAGTGTACTTTCAAGTCTGGTTCAAGTTTAGACTGAATTCCAACATAGTGAAACGCTATCGACGACAGACTGTCAAGTGTAAACAAATCAAAATTTGACCGAGTTCAGTTTAGTCAGGAAGGCACTCATCAGAATAGTATCATAGGTCTCCGTCATTTGTAGGTCTCAGTGGGAAGACTTTTACACAGCTAAAGTTACATGACTTTATTCTGGAGAGCCGACTTGTGCCGTTACAAGTCGCATCGCGATCACGAATGGACCAAAAAGTATTTTTCGCCTATTTTAATGGCTGTGGTTAGGTGGAATCTTCTGTCGACTTGAAGCCCAATGAGGGCAAAAACCTGTAGTTTTGAGAATACCATCCTATCTGCGCCAGCATCGGTCTCCTCTATCCAACTTAGTGCATTCGTTGGTCAGAAAGGATTGCATCAGGTCCCACATTCATCCACATAACCACCGGTTGCATCTTAGGTGGCAAATGCATACACAACATATGATTGGTAGATGAACTCCATCTACACTGTGAGAAACGCTATGAAGGTCACTTGGTTTTCGTGATTTTCGTTGCTCCAATCGAACCAAGAACATCCAACTTTCCAACACTGCCGTTTAGGGCATTCTGAGTTGGCTCATATAGAACTCCAAGGAGATAGCAGAACATACTGAACAAGTGAAAAACGCCAGTAGGCCCGTTTACTAGCTGTGAGATGTCCCTCGCATTCTCGATATCCACAGAATCAACCACTAGTGCTGTAAAGTCACAGTTGTTCTGTGTTGTGATCACTACTCATTGGCGAGTTACATCGTTCGCGGAAGCAATTTGATGAGTTATCTGGGTCAGTTCGAGGGGAAGTAGTGAATGGTTGATATTGTTATTGGAGAATTCGGGTGTGGAAATAGAAGACACGATAAAGTCCACTGTCTCGGTGATGAAAAAATCGTCCAGCTGTAGCACCCTTTCGGTGCCTAACTGCCCTGCCACCCGAAGGTTGCACGAGGGCTGGGATACTGCCCGGATGCCCAAGCCTATACAGGGGATGTCGAGAGGCAGATGTCGGGTTTGAACCACGGACCTTTCGGTCAGTAAATTCGTGCTCTAACCATTTGGGCCACTTCGGTGATGGCGATATATATATATATATATATATATATGCCGATATATCCGAGCAAAAGGATAAACAAAATGGCTGCCGCAAAACATGCACGACGGCGCAAAGTGGAAGTCACTGAGGTCACAAAATGATCTGATAACAAATATTAATTATACACCCATCTGAATACTAATTTGGTTTTGATCGGTGATACCTGGAGTCCGGCTGAATGTCTCGTTTGTGATGTCAAAACCAAATTGGTATGCAGATCAGTGTATAAGCTGAATTCCGTGCAATTTATGTTCAAGCAGAACATAAAGTTGACGAAGACTCGGGAACTGCGAAACCGGTCGTGGGCTGTCGAAGAGTTTTCAGCAACCTTATGATTAGTGTGTCACGTTTAGACGGGTAGCAAGTACTTTGAATGTAAAATGTGTCCTTTCCTCGCATCTAAGAGTCACTTGTAGTCAGTAAGGGATTTGGTGTATCCCAACTTTAAAAACGAAGAAATCCTTCTGGTTGGTCAGATTGTGCATGTGCAGGGTATCTCATAATAGAGTCAGAAAATAACTCCACGTTAAAACTTTAACACCGATCTAAATATTTATTATTTTTTATGTAGACATACATGCATTATATAGGTTTATTGTATAAAAAACTCAAATTACAAAAGGTGTTGGAAAAACCGCCCCTTTCTTCTATAACAAGTTGGAGGTGGTATGTTTCACTTCTTCAGGCGTCACTCGTGCACACTCTTCAGTTCTTGCTCTTAACTTCATCAAATTCTTAGGTTTATTTTCATGATATACACGAGCCTTGATCATTCCCCAGAAACAGTAATCCAGAGGTGTGAGGTCGGGTGACCGGGTGAGCCAAAAGTTTGGAAATCCACGAGCAATGACTCTTTCATCAGCAAATTGCTCTCGGAGGTAAGTTCTCACTTGGTTTGAGTAGTGGGGTGGAGCGCCATCTTGTTGAAAGACGGTCGATGACTTCTTGTGTTGTCTGAGTTGCGGGATAACATTGGTCTGCAGCATATGGAGGTAACTGTCGCCGGAAACCGTAGCATCAAAGAAAAAGGGGCGCAGGGGACACTCTGAGGATAATCGCATTCACACACAGAGATGAGGGGAATGGAGATTATGGGTGAGGTACTCGTGAGGAGCTTCACAGGGCCATATCACGCAATTGTACCTGTTGATTATGCCATCCACAGAAAAATTTGTTTCATCGCTCCATAAAATGTTAGGAACGATTTCTTCATTGTCCAGCAGCCAGTTAGCGAACGTGACAAGTTGCTCCTTGTCTTCTTCCGTGATGTTTTGTAATAAAGTGAAATAATGCGGGTAGAGATGAAGGTGGCGTCTCATAATACGATGCACGCTGGCGCTGGGAATGACGGTCAACTGAGACCCCTAAGTCATTGACAAAGATGTCATGGTGCTCTGGGACTGGATTTGCTCGACGGCATTCTGTACAATGGGTACTTTTTCATCACTCAGAAACTTTCCCCCTTTGCAAGTAGAATCCAGTACAGATCCAGTGGACTCAAATTTCGCAATCAAGTGTGTAATGGTCGATACGGCGAGAGGATCTTTGATGAGACCATGTTTGTTTTTGTAACCACGAAGTGCAGCGGTGGCGCTTTCACCAAGGGAATAATAGAGTTTTATAATTTCAATGCGCGTACTGACATTTATTGCAAACAAAAAGATACCATTACCTCTACACAAAACCTCCTTTATGTGGCTACTAATATTGAAAAATTTTGTTATCCAGTTTTCAATTAATCACCTCTGCTCACCCAATTAAATTTTGCGTCTATCATGAGACACCTTGTATCACAGAGCCAATTCAGAAAAAGGGTTGTTTCTTATCGAATCACGAATTAGGGACATTTACTTATGACATAATTTCTGGTCTTGATGATCTATTTTTTATTTGCATAGCAATCAGCTCCATTTTGTTCTTTACATGGCATACCCCAAGTGTTTATTTGTTTCCTTTTCTGAGAAGGGAAAGTGAACCTCTTTATTCCTTGGCAGAAAATGGACGATTGATGTGATACTCAAGCAGTTTAATTTTCTGGACAAAATTTTTATTCTAGCGAACTAGTTTGTTTCAGGCATCCTTACGCCCACAAAAAGCTGCCGATATCTTTCTAAAGCTTTGTAAGTGATGATGCGAATGTTCTGTGGATACACGGCCTTTGACAAAACAAGCATACCTTCTTCACTGTAGTTGTCTTATTCATAAAAGTGTAGAGAGATTCTCATGCAGTTGCATCATATGTCGTTCTTGTTGTCAAGACAGTCCTATCCTTTCGACGCTACCTTCACTGTCTTTGAAGCTTCCGGTCATGTTACCGTTAGGTCTGCTGTCCGGTGAATAGGTCAGTAGTCTGAATGGAGAAGCATCGTTTTTGTCCTGACAGTGTCCAGTATCGAGCTTTATGGGTGTAAAGATCGGATTCACATGGCGGTGTGTAACCAGATCTGAAAAGAAGGAGTACGCAAGCAAGAGAACGTTGAACAGAAGATGGTGTTGTGTATGAACAGTTGCCAGCATCAAATATTCGAGCAAATCCATTCACGTTTTCATTTGTGATTCTCACACTTGGGCAACCGAGAATGGATCCCGAATACCAGAATGCATAGAAAATCAGAGTTTGTAAATTGTAGTATTGATCGATGAATGTAGCCGTTGCAGTGGAAATCCTGTCCAGGTTGGTGTCTAAAATGGACGTTTTAACTGAATTACGAACTACTTTCTGTGAGTCCTCTCAGGGTTGCCCATGACCGAGTGAGATAAACCGTGGTCAAATTCCATCCAAATTTCCATCCGAAGCATTTCCACGGTAAGATCGGATGTGTAGAGTGGAACATGTGTTTTTCGCTTGTTCAATCAGGTTTCCCAAAATCGATTTTCAGGCGCCATCGTTTGTGAACACTGGAGTATTTTCTCCAGATGCCATGAAATATGCACTTCAAAGATATGCAACTGGAAGTTCGTTTCATAGTCCAACAGAATCACGTTCCTAGTTTTCGCGTGCATTTCATGATATTTCGTCTGTGAAAATATCACTGATACCAACAGGTGCAGCTTGTATGTGGATCCAGTCAAGGGGGAAACAAGCTGTGTTGCATACTCGTATCATGCTGGTACGTCACATTTCTGTTGCTGCGTGGCCCAGCTTAAGTGTCCGGCTTCAGCCGGAGGGAAATCAATGCAACGTTCACATTGCATGCTGTTGAATTAACTTGTCACAAACAAATGAGGCAAATTTTTGTAGTTTGTGATTAGAGTAACGAAGAACAGAAAATGACTAACGAGGTCATTGGTAAATGCTTTTAACAGCTCTTTGTTGCACGTTAGCACAACTTACCTTCAGTCACATTTAGATGTTACGATAGCTGAACACCGCTTGTCTTATAGCCACCACTGGAAGGAAGAAGGTCTTCGCTGCGGGAATACTTATTAGAAAACGCCAAGTGAACAGTTACAAACTATTGGACAAGGAAGCAAATCTCTCATA